TAAGTGCATTTGTTGCTGCCGTAAACCAGTCTGCCCTTTTTGTGAAATTTTGTATCCGTTCGACAAACTTGCAATGTTTGGGTGGAGTGAGGGAAAGAAACAGAAGCCATTCGCCTTATTAGAAGTCAGTGTACACCATCTGAATGGTTTTGAAACTGATCTTTAGGTAAAAAAAAAAAAACTTACAGTTGCTTTAAGTGCCCAAAATTAATTTCAGATGATAAATTAAAAGCAAAAACGTTTTGTGTTTGATTTGCACACATCACTGTCATCAGTGAGGGTCAACAGTCTTATCATGTATTGTTCGTCAAGTGCAATTCAAAATTATTTTCCTATGTTGGCTGGAGATCTACTGTATATAATGATCTGCTGGTCTCCACACATTACATTTTCCTCTCTGCTTGTTTCCTTATTTTGTCAAATCGAGGCCACTAATGACCTGGAAAACTTCGACAAGGAACGACATGAAGACTTCAAGAGGTACGAGATGACGAAGGAACATGAACGCAAGGAACATCTTAAAACACTGGATGAGGAAGCGCGCCAAAAAGAGGAGGAACACTATGAAGAGATGAAGAAGAAACACGCAGACCATCCCAAAATCAATCACCCTGTAAGCTAAAGACACATTCCTTTAACTTATATAATAATCAAACAAGCTCATTTGTGATATTGAACACTTTATTCTTTTTTTTTTTTTTTTTTTGTCTTTTTTTTTTAATTGACATATGCTGGACTTCTCCCATCATTTCTAGTGCGTAAACCCCGGCCCTTTCTTACAATCGACTGCAAGCTCACGTTCAGACCTGTCTCCATCCAATGTATAGATTTGGTCTGTATGTGTGTAAATAGGGCAGTCAAGACCAGTTGAAAGAGGTCTGGGAGGAAGCGGACGGTTTGGATCCCAACGAATTTGACCCAAAGACATTCTTCAACCTACATGGTGAGATCAGTGAGCCTCTCTGTTCTGAACATTTAGATTATATCACAGCACGACTGTGACATCTGTTTGCTTTTACAGATACTAATGGAGATGGCTACTTTGATGAGCAAGAACTCGAGGCACTGTTTACCAAAGAGGTTCCCCTTAATAACCTTTCCATTCAGAGCTATCATAATAGAGTACTTTGAGGATGACGTGGCTTTATGGGGTGCTAAATCTGATGCTTGTGTCCACCCCGTTCAGCTAGAGAAAGTCTATGATCCCACACATGAAGAGGATGACATGATGGAAATGGAGGAGGAGAGACTTCGCATGAGAGAACATGTGATGAATGAGGTGGGGGCACCATAGCAGGGGACTGAATCCTTCATTGTGCTAACGATATTATTTCAAAGATGGTTCACTAGTAATAATTTTTTTGTACTGTCTATAGGTCGACACTAACAGAGACAGGCTCGTTTCACGAGATGAGTTTATTACTGCTACAAACAGAAAAGAATTTCTTGAGCCAGATGGATGGGAGGTAATGTTATTTATTTTTTTACTTTTGGGGTCAACATGAAACAAAATCTTCCCTATCTGTCAACTGCTTTTCATTCAAACTAAAGGTTCACTGCTGTTGAAAAGTTTGTACGTTTTTCCTTTGAAAGAAATGAATACTTTTATTTAGCAATGACACATTCAATTCACGGAGTGACGGTAAAGACATTTATAATGTTGCAAAATATTTCCGTTTCAAATCAATGCTGTTCTATTCATCAAAGAAACCTGAAAATGTATCATGTTTTGCACAAAAATATTAAGCAGCGCAACTCTTTTCAACATGGATAATAATAAGAAATGTTTCTTGAGCAGCAAATCTTATTAGAATGATTTCTGAAGGATCATGTGACACTGAAGACTGGCGTAATGATGCTGAAAATTCAGCTTTGCCATCACAGGAATAAAATACATTTTCAAATATATTTAAATAGAAAATAGTTATTTTAAATTGTAACTGTTCTGGAACGTTGTTGTAAATACAACTTAACCACTGATTTCTAGTCGTGTCCATTTTTGGAAGGACAAACAAAGTAGTTTCGCTTTCACAACGAAACACAGCATCACACACGGGTGCCTAGAGTGAGCAGAGGCCGCGGCCTAGAGTGAGGAATGGCCGGAGGGCTAGAGTGAGCGGAGGCGGCGGGCAAATGCTTAAACTAATAACAAAACAGTAGCTGATTCAGAAGCGCCAGATTGTCATAGCAAAGTTGGAATTGACCCTTTTTTTTTTTTTCTCCACATATTGACGTAGATATGTGGGGGCGTGTTAGAATGAGCAGTTTTAGGAGGGCGTGGTTGACTCTTAACTTTGATAAAGAATATCTCTTTGGATTTGAGACTTTAGTCTTTGCAACTTTACAGATCTTCTTTATGCACCAAGAGCTTGTAACACTCCAAAGACAAAGGAAAAATTGAAATCGCATCATATGACCCCTTTAAGCACCTTCCCCCCCATTCACATTACCATTATTCAAATAAATCTCATTATCCTTACTGTAATGGGAAATAACTATAAATTATTTCAATTGTAAAAATAAATACTTTTTATATATAACTATATAAAGATTTTTAAAAGAAATTATTACTTTTATAAAGCAAGGATGTATTACATTGCTCAAAATGACAGTAAAGCATTTATATTGTTGCAAAAGATTTATATTTCAAATAAATGCCATTCGTTTAAACTTACATTCATCAAAGAATTCTGGGGGGAAATGCGTTACGGTTTTACATAATGTATCGCATAAGAATCTACAAAAATTACAGACCCCACACTTTTAAATGAGTGTTTATGATAAAGTTTTGTTGCACTGCTTTTATCTTATGTCACTAAAATATTCCCTTTTTAAAACATAAGAGAAATGTCTTGAAGCTAGAATTCTCTCACCTCAACGCTTTCTACCATACTGATCATTTCTTTTAGGCGGTAGAGCACATGGAGCGGTTGAAAACACAGAAAACAGAGCCTCCAGTACAGGACAAAGGTCAGTGTAATTCTTTTACATTTTTCTGGTCAAAGGCATTTTGCCCTGTCATTTGGAACAAAATATTGATTTTCTATCATTATATCTCTGTTTTTGGCAAATGCAGTACCTTTTGCGGCGGAAATGCTACCTGGGGACAGTCAGCCTTTGTCACACGGTCATCAGCAAGACCTCCCCGCACATTCTTAGCAGCTCAAGCTCTTCTCAGTGTCTGTAATGTGTTTGTCTGTTGTATGTAGTGTCAAATATTTCCATCCTCACATTCAAATGGACCATTTACTGTCACTTAGCAAAGACCTTGGCTATCCTTGAAGTAATCAAACAAATCATCGTGGTGGTATTCTCAAACACAAAAAATATTGAATTGCGGTATCCCAAAACGGGTCGCTGAAGTATGTAAATGGTTAACAGAATTCTCTGTGGACAATCACACTTCTGTCCACATTCTCTTATCTAAAATGCAGATAGTTTGTGAGGACAGGGATTGTACTTGAAACTTGTATTTAGAGAAATTAAATGTATTTGTATTGTTCTTGTAAATGTCTTAGCCATGTTTGCATAAACATGGATAAACCTCATAGGATAAATTTCTCTTTACATTTAGGCATTTGATATTATACCTGGGCAATAAACACACTTCATGTTAAGTTAAATGCCCCACGATTCAGCATTCCTATTGTACGGCACTTCCAATGAAAAGACTATAGAATAGAATAGAATATTTTTTTGCTTTAGTTTCACTTGAAAGTCAATCCTAAATTGATTTACAAGGGTCTTTTAATAAAGTTTCTGCAAATGTTGATGAATTACTACTGCAACACTAGTGATTTTTTTTTCAAGCTGTTTTATTTTAATTCATTATAGTTTTCAACCAGTGTTCTACTGTAAACAATGTATACATTTATAAAATATACAGAAATATAATTAAAGGGATAGTTAACCCTTTAAGCATGAAATAGGTATGGATTTTTTTTTTTCATTTTTGACTGTGCTTTACGACTCTCTACAATGTATTAAATTATCTATGGTTCACCAACTGTGCTCTGATGATTATCACTTAATTTTGTTTTTTCCAAACATACAAAATCAAAAAAATTTCCCTTAATTAGGATCTATTTTTTGCCGTAAGAATCCTTGAACCTTGTTAAAAGGTAATCAACTGACTTAACAGGAGGATATTTATCTGATCCATCACAGCATGAAATGATGGCCTCATCATCTGGTTGTGCAAAGAAGGCCAAAGACTGACGTGTGCCAGAGTCACCTGCAGGGGGCAGCAAAACCCTATGAACCTGAGGGTCAGAACAATAGAAATGAAATAAGTGTTGCTTGCACTGCACAATTAAATGAAATGCAATATTGGTAAAGAAACTTACGGCAGACACATAGACATCGCTGGTCCACCTTTGCATCAGGTCTGCTATGTTAATCAGAACTGTTCCAGGAATGCTGGGGGCTGAAATGTACTCACCAGCCCGGTTCAGGACCTGGAGGAGAACAATAATAAAATGACTATCCTAAATGATAAAGGACCACATTAAACATTAATCTTTTCTCCTCTTGTCCTATATTGGTATTCACCTGCAGTCCACCCTCTGGGCTTTGGAAGACCAAAGTGATACTCCCATAATCAGAGTGTTCACCACAGCGCAGCTGATTTCCCTTCACACATGTGCTGTTCACCGGAGGATAGTACAGAGCCCGCAGTGTCGTTCCATTCACATCACCTTAAAACAACCCACATCATAAAGGTCTTGCAGGCCTCCCAGCCATTGACTCACTGCATGGGATGAAGTAGTGCATTTCATTTTACTTACTTCCAATATGCTTATGTGCACTGAGAAAGACCTCTGCTTCCAGGCCCAAACCAAGAGCCATCAATCGGAGCACTCTGAGAGAAAGTTCCTTACAGCGCAGGAAAAATGATACTTGCACATCTCGAAAATCATCAACTCCTTCTGAAGGCCAATTCTGAACACATTGAAAGTGGAGGGTTATAAAGTCAAGCTTCCTTAAAGTATCTTAATGTTAATGCTATAAAAAAAAAAACAGTTGTGCATATTAAAAAATACTTTATATTTTAAATAGAATGTTTTTGTTTTTCAACATAGCTGTCATTTCACATTTTTTTCAAATTTCTGTATAGGTGTGTGTGCGCATGTGCGAGAGAGAGAGAGAGAAAGATAATTTCCTTCAGAAATTATTCTAATATGCCGATTTGCTACAAGAAACATTTATTACATCAATGTTGAAAATGTTTAGTATTTGTATGGAAACCGTGATACACTCAAAAGTTTTGGGTAAGATTAAAATAATAATAATAATAATAGCTACTTTTATTTAGCAAGGAAACATTAAATTGATCAAAAATGACAGTAAAGACATTTATAACGTTACAAAATATTTGTTTCAAATAAATGCTGTTTTTTTAACTTTCCATCAAATAATCCTGAAAAAAAAAACATAAATTAAGCAGCAAAATACTGTTATAAGAATTATTAATAGGCTACCTGTAATAACTGGAAATAAGTATTGTCTAATTCTAATTATTTTTTTTAATGAGATGGAACTACAAATAATATTTCAATGTTTTTGTGTTCTCTCGCAAATTGGCGTTCCCTCACTGAAGCACTGAAATACACACACACACACACACACACACACACACACATATATATATATATATAATTTTTTTTCTGCAATCCTTTTTTTAACCATCGGAGGCTCGTATGAAACCAACATACAAAGTCACTTCTCAGGAAATATTTTCACTCAAAAAATTAATTAAAACTCTTATAAAAGTATAATTATTTGACTCTGCAGTGAGTACCGCTTGAAGAAAGGGGAGAAGACAAGAAATAGGTATTTACGATATCCGAGCACAAAGATGCTGTATTAAACGCCTCCTTCAGATCACCGTGACGTCGAGGATTCAAACTGTAAAATGACAGGATATAAAACCATTAATTCTCCATCATTCGTGAATTTTTAGCAGTAATGCTTCTGAAGCTAGAAGAGTCTGACATGCCTTTCCGTTTCTACCGAAACCCAGCCGTGGTTTCCATTACACGAGAAACTGCCCCTGCCGAAAGGTTTCTTCATGCTTTCTGGCAAACAGAAGAACTTCTTTGAAACACCCATAACTTTGTCCACCTAAAACAATGGACAGAATAATAATAGCCAGCCATTTACGAACTACTAGAAAACTTCTCGTAACAAACGTGCACAAAATGACAAACCTCGTCCTGATTTATGCCCGTGTTTTTCAGATAAACAAATCCCACCTCGGTAAAGGCCCTTCTTAGTTCGGCACTTATCTTCTCCAAGTTATCAACTGATACATTGGTCTTTTCCAGTTCGTACACACTGAAATCTACGACAGGTATCTCCATAGTGAGTTATTTTTCCTCGAGACAGCAAAACGACAAATAATTATTTTAAAGGGGTCATATGATGCGATTTCAAGTTTACCTTTCTCTTTGGAGTGTTACAAGCTGATTGTGCATAGATAAGATCCCTGAAGTTGCAAAGACTAAAGTCTCAAAACCAAAGAGATATTCTGTGTGTGGGGAACAGGGTCACATCACAGGAGAGTGAACTGCCTGTCAGAAATCATAGCACGTCAGCTGTCTTAACCGCGGCTTGTGTACTGCATCATTACTGTGTCTGTCACGCGACTCTGTTTCCCTTTCGGGCTCTGTCTTTACATTTATTTTGAAAGATGAAGCTCGCGATTATGGTAAGGGGCGTTACATTTCCGACGAGTGCTTGCGGTGTTCGGCCAATCACAATGCATTGGGTCAGCTGGCCAATCAGAGCAGTCTGCTCTGATTGGCCAATCACAATGCACTGGGTCAGTTGGCCAATCAGAGCAGACTGCGCTTGTTGGAAGGAGGGACTTTGTAGAAAACGAAGCGTTTGAGAGGCGGGGCATAGAGGACCTACAATAATGTACAGTATTTGAAAAATAATGTGTTTTTTGAACATTAAAGCATGTCAACATATTCTGTTACACCAAATACACCAAATAATGATCTTTAAAAAAAGCATCATATGACCCCTTTAAAATCCTTTTGGAAATCCTGAAGAAAATACGCCAAGGATCTTCGCTTCTTTTAACAATGCAGTTGTTGAGCAATGTAGTGTCATAAAGATCCACCAATGAAAGATCAAACCATGGGAGCACAAAGATCACTGGATTTCAGCCTTTTCAATGCTCTGAAAGTTTACATGTCCCTATTCTAATCCTACTATTTTGCAGTATACTGTCTAAACTTTGTAGTATGCACTGCAAGTTATTTCCAATGGGTAAAAGGTTTAAATATGCTTTCTGAAAGCAATCTAAAAAAGTATTTGCAGTGGTATTGAAACATTAGTTGCATATGCATGGCAATCTTGAGTACCTTTGTTTACGCAGTGTGTAAAGAAAACAAAATATTATGTAGTGTGTACCCTCTCTCAAATCAGTATTTTTACTAAGCTTAGCAAACAGTCAAATGTTAATGAGTATATTTTGTACACAAGTAATGCACCATAAGATTATCATTTATTTTACAGATGGCTTCTGAAATTAGCTTTCACAGAAAAACATGAGGTCTACACCATGGGAATATTAATCTCTGAAATGTGGTTAAAAGAAAAACAACAATGTACAACTTTTTGTTTGTTCACTGATAATACATGGGGAGTCTTGCCGAAATTTTTTTAAAACAATTTGGTCTTTAAACTTCTTACTGAAATATTTTCATTTGGTCTTAAATAAATCTACTGACCACAGAAACAAGACACAAAGACATTTCAAATTTTAATTTTAAAGTTCATTTCTTTATGGTTTCTTTCCAAATTTGCTCTTTTTGTCCTTATTTTTCTTAATCTTCTTGCTTTGCCATTGTTCTTTCTGGTTCATGCCTTCCAGTTTTCTTTTCTTGTCACTAAGGGGTAAAACAGAAAGATCATAGTTCATAGCAGTTCATGATTCCAGACAAAACCTCCCCTACCCAAGCTGCTGTTTACCTTTTTATGCTAACAATAGCTGTATGTCCTGCTTTCTTCAACACGTGGTCCCATTCCTCGTCATCTCCTCGAATCATGTACCTTCATGAAAAATTCAGAATGGATAAGAGTGGTCAACTGCACCGCACAGCCAAATGAGTGGAAAAATGTTTATATTAAATATATTACTTTAAAATATTAAAAACATTTTACATCTCGTTAAATTGGTCATTAACTAGCTTATTAATTAGCTCAGAGAAAGGGTGGAAACGGTAAACGGCCTTTATAAACCCCCCGGGGCCATGTGGGACACTTTTTATTATGGATGGATGCGCTTTATTGGACTTCCTTTGGACTATTGACAAGAAACACCCACTCACTGGCATTATAAATATTTTTTAATATAAGTCCGATCGGATTTGTCTGAAAGAAGAAAGTCATATACACCTAAGATGGCTTGTGGGTGAGTAAATTATAAGGTCAATTAAATTTTTACTGTCCCTTTAAATAAGTGCAGTTTGGACTATTGCTTTGGGAATACTCACTCTGAAAGATTCATGTCTTTAATCTTCTCCATTTCATTTTTGTGTTTCTCTTGGAACTCTTTGGCTGCATCATTCTAAGGAACAAAACACAGTTTTAACACAACACCTTGTCACAAAAATGTGCTGCTTCAAATAAATGCTGGGTGGGGGGTCCACAAAATAGCAGCACCATTTTCAACATCGATAATAAATTAGAAATGTTTCATGAGCCCCAAATCAGCATATTAGAATGATTTTTGATACTGAAGACTGGAGTAATGGCTGCTGAAAATTCAGCTTTGCCACCACAGGCTCTCATACCAGATCTTCATTAAGTGTCTGCACAGTTGGTTCCATGCTTATATCTTTGGTGGCCACCATCTCTGCTTCAACCGCATTCTCCTGAAGTGTGTTGAAGAACTGCAGACGAGATGAAAACAAAAAATAACTACACACTGAAACAACAATATAGACTAGAAGAGGTAGAGGAGTAGATCTAAGCAGTGTATTTCTCACTCCTTCAAGTGGAAGTGGTCTGATAAGAAGGTTCATTGCTAATCCTTGTACTTTGCTTTAATAAGTGTGTGTATGAGAGACAAAGACAGAGGGCTTGGTCTCACCTGCATCACTTTACGGATGACACGGTTGAACAAGCCCATAAGCTGAGAACCAGGCAGCTCAATTTCCTTCTCCAGCTCATCTATACTCTTGTGTTGAAGCCCAATTCCCAACAACAAAGCCTGAAAAAGAATTATGTTTTACACACATGCCTGAACACACAGTGGCTAGAATAAATCGTTTCATATGAAATTATAACAATATAGATAGCACTTTCTCTTTCCATTTGTGCTGTTCTTTCAAACACCTTTTCAAACTCATTGACACACTTTATTCATTCTTGAAGTGAACTTTTGCCTGTATACTAGTGATTAGATTCACTGTTTTGGATTGCCACCTTGAACTGGAGAACACAAGTACAGAATACATGAACGGTGTGCAACAGACTACCTATGGCACTTTTACCTGAGCCCTAGGAGACAATGTCACACTGACTTTAGTGAGGAAACAGCTGATCACTTTATAAATTGACAGCCTGTCTGCTAATATCTAATGTATTTACCATTAAACATTCCTTTTGGACAGAGCGATATTTAGAAACTGCAACAAAATAAATGCTGTTTTCTAAGAGAAGTCACAACATTTATTAAATTATTATTATTTTGTAATAAAATGTACTTTTATGGTATCTTCAAACAATCATTGACTGTCATAAAACTAAAAGCCATAAAATGATTTAGAATGACATTTAATAATAAATATATTTAAATGAGTGATTTTGTGTCATCTGGTTTATTTCAGATTTTTTGTTTTGACTAGTACAAGTTCTAAATGACCGGTAAATTAAAAATTTAAGAGCTACAGAAGCTGGTGAGTGAAATATAAATATATATTTCAAGATAAAGTTTGACAAATAAAGAGAATTCCTAGAAATAATTGGACAAACACACATAGAGAACTCACACACTGGGCAACAGAAAGTGTGATGTCTCCCAATTGTTTGAGGAAAAACATGCGTGCAATAACAGGGATCATGTCCATGATGAGGTGATAGTCCACCATGTTTCTTGAATACATCTCCAAACGCTTCAGGTCGTATGGAGTGAATGTGGCCGCTAACTCTGCACTGGCGAGTGCTGAAGAGACACAGACACAGACACATGTAAAGTCATCATAAAACCAACACACATACAACAATTACTTTGAGGTGGCAGATGTTGGCCTGTACCTGCTGGGCTGTCGGCCTTAGCGTTCTTGTTCTGCGATATGTTGAGGGCCAGGGTCGGGCTAAATTTGCTGAACTGGAAGGATAGCAGCGAGAGGAACCTCCGCCGGAAATCTGTCCAACACAAGAAAAGTTAGTCTTTGAAATCAGAAAGAGATGGCTGAGTGAGCATTATATATCTATCTATATATCTTATTTATTATATATCTATTATTACATGGCTCTCTGGAATACTTGATTCTGATTGGTCAGTTGCAGCATTCTTACTATATCATGAGAGATTGGAAATACTCATACTCACCCTTCCAAAAAGCTGAGAGCCACTGGTCCTGCTCTGTAGACTCCTCAGCATTGAGCTCCTTCAGCATAATGCAGGAGTGCTCTCCCGTCAGGTCATTCTACAGATCACAATAGAAGAATACACGCTTATTACAAAGTTACAAAACTTGACAATGCTAAAAAAAAAAAAATGCTGCATGCTTACCGGCGTCTGTCTTAAATAAACAGGCACAAATCCAGCCTTCTTCCAGAATCTGGATGGGGAAGAAAGCAAGAGATATTTAGGAGTTACTAACATGTTTTGTGACAGTGCTGCAGTATAAATATCACTGTAAAACCTGCATGAAGCAACTCACTTGAGTAGTTGAGGAGTGAGACCGTAAGACACCCCGAGGTAGTCCAGCCTCTCGGCTCTCCTCTCATTCAGCTTCAACAGCAGCGGTGGCAGGTCTTTCCTGGGAGACACCACCTCCTCCAGGAGACTGACAACCTGTACAGGAATGAAAAAGACATGAAAAAAATACTCGGTTCAGAATACATACTTAAATGTTTCTTATTTATTAATACTTTTGGTCCAGATATTACGCTACTTTATCAGGTGGCATTTATAACCACTAAAATGCATGAAGGACGATCTAAAATCCTGAATTTCAAAACTTATTGTACACATTGCTGCCACAGAGGGCTCATTTTGTTCTGGTTTCCTACAAAAGGTAAAACTAATGGTAGCGCATCAAATTTAATCAGTTATAACATATAACAAATCATCACTGAGTGATGGTACACCATTCAAAAGTCTGTAAAGATGTTTTTTTTTTTAGAATTAATACTTTTATTCAGCATAAAATGTATCAAAAGTGACAGTAAAGAGATTTAAAATGTTACAAAATATATTTCAAACAAATGCTGTTTTTTAAACTTTCTATTCATCAAAGAATCCTGAAAAATCAGTCTCCACAAAAAGTAGCACAACTGTTTTATGTTTTAAGTCTTATGTGACACTGAAGACTGGAGTAATGGCTTCAGTAATTTATTTCTGTGATCAGCTTTGCCATCACAGAAATAAATGACATTATATTTAATATAAATTACATACATTTCTATATATATATATATATATATATATCTACCCTGTCGTACAACCACTAGCATGGTTAGAAACTTAGAGAGGAGGAGAGAGAGAAACTTTAAATGCTACCATGTATTCATGTTCAATCCAAAGTATACAGACTGGAATCTTTTCACTGAAAGGGCATTCTTTTCAAAGCAACTATTATATGTGATCAAATAAAAAGCAAACTATATCCAAAGATGAAATGTTAACCCATTAATACCCTGATTTTTACAAGTATTCACGGACAAGGCCATTGGAGTTTGGGGATGGTAAGATTAGTCGATAAGTCTCTTGTGCTCAATGCATTTATTTGTTCAAAACATAGTAAAAACAGTAATATTGTAAATACTACTGTATTTGTGATCAAATAAATGCAGCCTACGTGGACATAAGAGACTTCTTTCAAAAACAAACAAACAAACAAACAAAAAAAACTTACTGACACCAATCTTTTGAACAGTAGTGTATGTTCTGAAATTGCTTCAAAATGTTTAATGTAAGAAGTAAAATACAGTACATATCCTGTTAAATATAATCAAGCAATGTTTTCTATACTTCTTTTCACTATATGAACACAAGGGAGAATTATTTAATATTTTTCACTTATATCAACCAATTTAACAATTCAATATAGCTTTGTTTACCTACATGTCTGAATACATTTTGGTTTGATTGTAAATTATAGAATATATTACCTACAGAAATACTAAAACAATGTAATATATGAAAAATGGCACACAGACTTTCATGAACATTTTTGAGTGATGACGCTAACAGACCATTACCTCACTGCTCACAGATGTGATTGTACTGGTCGTTGTCTGTTCTTGCTCATCCAGAAGAGGAAACTGACCCTCATAATATTGCTGTAGCAGTTGCAACGCACGGCTGCCGTAACCCATCTAAAGAGAGGCACAATAAATCACACATGGCCAATGATATAACTGGTCAAACAAGGCAATAATGCAGCAACTTGTACATGTAAGCTTTTCACTGATCATCACTGAGGTTGTATATAATCTGAGGAAAAGCAGAAGTAATTTACCCCCTGATAATCAGGATTCACTGCAATACGGACAATCCGGCCTCCAGAGAGGCCTCCAAACTCAGGGTCTTGAAACTAAATGCAGAACACAAGAGCATCGGAATCATTACAGATTCACTCTTTCAAACATTTATTTGATCGTATGGCATAAATAATCTACATACACTACTGTTCAAAGGTATGTTCTGAGCAATTGCGCTGCTTAAAGGGGTCATATGATGCGATTTCAAGTTTTCCTTTCTCTTTGAAGTGAAACAAGCTCTTGGTGCATAAAGAAGATCTGTAAAGTTGCAAAGACTAAAGTCTCAAATCCAAAGAGATATTCTTTATAAAAGTTAAGAGTCAACCACGCCTACCTAAAACGGCTCATTCTAACACGCCCCCACATGTCTACGTCACTATGTGGAAATATTAGCATAATGCCGTCCAAATGTGCACGCAAAGAAAGAAGGAGTGGTTTCAGGAACAGCAGTTTTGCTATTTACTGTTCAAATGCGGAGTTTTGCGCAGCGCAGAGTAACGCGTCGTGTGTGTGTGTGTGTGTGTGTGAGAGAGGGTAACAGGGTCATATCACAGGAGAGTGAACTGCCTGTCAGAAATCATAGCACGTCAGCTGTCTTAACCGCGGCTTGTGTACTGCATCAACACTGTATCTGTCACGCGACTCTGTTGTCCTTTCGGGCTTGAACTGATGGTAAAACTAACGACATTATTAACTGTCTTGATATTTACTTTGAAAGCTGAAGCTGCGATTATGGTAAGGGGCGTTACATTTCCGACGCGTGCTTGCGGTGTTCGGCCAATCACAATGCACTGGGTCAGCTGGCCAATCAGAGCAGACTGTGCTTGTCAAAGGAGGGGGCTTTGTTGAAAACTACGTGTTTGAGAGAGGCGGGGCATAGAGGACCTACAATAATGTACAGTATTTGAAAAATAATGTGTTTTTTTTTACATTAAAGCATGTCAACATATTCTGTTACACCAAATACACAAAATAATTATCTTTAAAATAGCATCATATGACCCCTTTAATATTTTTGTGGTAACCGTCATACTATTTTTCAGGATGCTATGATGAATAGAAAGTTCAAGAGAACAGTATTTATTGGAAATAGAAACATTTATAGAATCTTATAATAGAAATAATAAGATTATAATTGTATGTACTGTCAGTTTTTATCAATTTAATGCATGCTTGCAGAAGAAAAGTATTAATTTCTTTAAAAAAAAATTCTGACCCCAAACTGTAGTTTAGCCTGTAGTGTAGTTTCATTTGAAATTTGGATTTCTTACCTGTTCCGAAATGGTCCACGGAATGAGGTCACCTGAAGCTTTCTTCCCTCTGGACAAGCTGTTGAGGACGGATTGGCGGGAGATCTCTCCTTCCAGACACACCTGTAAGAGAAAACACAGGCTTCACTACACAGTTCTTTCATTACAACAACTTCGACTCAGATTCAGCAGTATTGTAATTAAGTAGCTTTGGGCACACCTGGACAACTGCTAAGACCTCTGGGAGTGAATTCTGTGTGGGTGGGACAGGGGGCAGCAGGCAAAAGAGATGGTGAGCAGGAGCATCCGAGAGCATCTGAAGGTCATTGGGTGAATTCTGAGGAGGAAGAGGAGTTTGAGTCAATATCAGTTTGATGTTTAGAGTCTGTGAAATAACGTAATGCTTTAATACAGTGGTTCTCAACCAGGGGGGGTCACAAGATGACTAAAACTATTTGAATGAATACATTATTAATATTTTAAGATAATCTAAATTAAAATGCTAAAACCCAATATCAAAATGTAAACTGAAATATTAATAAATAATATTTGGGGTTAATTAAATGTATCAGTTATCCCAGTTTATGTTTAAAAAAATTTTTTTTAAAGTGTAAAAAAAAATCCAAACTAAAAATTCTACAAAAAAAAAAAAAATTAAGAATTTATCAAAATTAAGACAGAAACACTGGAAAAAGCTTTTACTGGGGGCGGTTTTGAATATTCTGTTAGACAAAGAGAGGCTTTGAGTCAAAACGGTTGAGAACCACTGATCTAATCATCAAGATATTTATTTACCTTGTAATGCGATGCTACATAAAGTGCCATAAGACGCTGGAGGAAAGCCTCAGAAGCTTTGTGATAACAAAACAATGTGTCTCGATTCACATAATAACTGGAATAAAGGATTAAAGAAATCGTATGTCTAGAAAGTAGATGAGAGAGTGTTTTGTATTATTTTGAGATATTAGGCATGTGTTTATATGCGTAATGGTGGTGATGATAGTAGATAAAATCATATGCAAGACAGGCTAGAACAGGGGTGTCCAATCCTGCTCCTGGAAGGCCACTGTCCTGCAAAGTTTAGCTCCAACTCCAATTAAACACACCTGAACCAGCTAATCAAGGTCATACTGTGTGTGTGAGGGGAACAGGGTCACATCACAGGAGAGTGAACTGCCTGTCAGAAATCATAGCACGTCAGCTGTCTTAACCGCGGCTTGTGTACTGCATCATCTCTGTGTCTGTCACGCGACTCTGTTGCCCTTTTGGGCTTGAACTGATGGTAAAACTAACGACATTATTAACTGTCTTGATATTTACTTTGAAAGCTGAAGCTGCGATTATGGTAAGGGGCGTTACATTTCCGACGCGTGCTTGCGGTGTTCGGCCAATCACAATGCACTGGGTCAGCTGGCCAATCAGAGCAGACTGCGCTTGTCAAAGGAGGGGGCTTTGTTGAAAACTACGTGTTTGAGAGAGGCGGGGCATAGAGGACCTACAATAATGTACAGTATTTGAAAAATAATGTGTTTTTTTTTACATTAAAGCATGTCAACATATTCTGTTACACCAAATACACAAAATAATTATCTTTAAAATAGCATCATATGACCCCTTTAATATTTTTGTGGTAACCGTCATACTATTTTTCAGGATGCTATGATGAATAGAAAGTTCAAGAGAACAGTATTTATTGGAAATAGAAACATTTATAGAATCTTATAATAGAAATAATAAGATTATAATTGTATGTACTGTCAGTTTTTATCAATTTAATGCATGCTTGCAGAAGAAAAGTATTAATTTCTTTAAAAAAAAATTCTGACCCCAAACTGTAGTTTAGCCTGTAGTGTAGTTTCATTTGAAATTTGGATTTCTTACCTGTTCCGAAATGGTCCACGGAATGAGGTCACCTGAAGCTTTCTTCCCTCTGGACAAGCTGTTGAGGACGGATTGGCGGGAGATCTCTCCTTCCAGACACACCTGTAAGAGAAAACACAGGCTTCACTACACAGTTCTTTCATTACAACAACTTCGACTCAGATTCAGCAGTATTGTAATTAAGTAGCTTTGGGCACACCTGGACAACTGCTAAGACCTCTGGGAGTGAATTCTGTGTGGGTGGGACAGGGGGCAGCAGGCAAAAGAGATGGTGAGCAGGAGCATCCGAGAGCATCTGAAGGTCATTGGGTGAATTCTGAGGAGGAAGAGGAGTTTGAGTCAATATCAGTTTGATGTTTAGAGTCTGTGAAATAACGTAATGCTTTAATACAGTGGTTCTCAACCAGGGGGGGTCACAAGATGACTAAAACTATTTGAATGAATACATTATTAATATTTTAAGATAATCTAAATTAAAATGCTAAAACCCAATATCAAAATGTAAACTGAAATATTAATAAATAATATTTGGGGTTAATTAAATGTATCAGTTATCCCAGTTTATGTTTAAAAAATTTTTTTTTTTAAAGTGTAAAAAAATCCAAACTAAAAATTCAAAAAAAAAAAAAAAAAATTAAGACAGAAACACTGGAAAAAGCTTTTACTGGGGGCGGTTTTGAATATTCTGTTAGACAAAGAGAGGCTTTGAGTCAAAACGGTTGAGAACCACTGATCTAATCATCAAGATATTTATTTACCTTGTAATGCGATGCTACATAAAGTGCCATAAGACGCTGGAGGAAAGCCTCAGAAGCTTTGTGATAACAAAACAATGTGTCTCGATTCACATAATAACTGGAATAAAGGATTAAAGAAATCGTATGTCTAGAAAGTAGATGAGAGAGTGTTTTGTATTATTTTGAGATATTAGGCATGTGTTTATATGCGTAATGGTGGTGATGATAGTAGATAAAATCATATGCAAGACAGGCTAGAACAGGGGTGTCCAATCCTGCTCCTGGAAGGCCACTGTCCTGCAAAGTTTAGCTCCAACTCCAATTAAACACACCTGAACCAGCTAATCAAGGTCATACTAGAAACTTCCAGGCAGGTGTGTTGAGGCAAGTTGGAGCTAAACTCTGCAGAACACCAGCCCTCCAGGACCGAGTTTGGACACCCCTGGGTTAGAATATGGAAACCCATTTCTGCCACATGCCTTGGTAAGTCATAATTATGATAGTGATGATTCTGTTAAGTCATCATGACATAAAACTTTAAAATTCTGCCAAAAAGTCGAAACTGAGATAAGTCATAATTATGTGGTAAAAAGTCAAAATTATGAGATACAAATCTAAAATATGAGAAAGAAGGTTATAGTTATGACAGTCATTTGAAATTTCCAAAAAAGTCAATCATATCATAATACATTTTTTTATCTCACAATTCCATTTTCCATTCTCATAATGTCATAGTTTTGACTTTTTATCTCATAATTATGATTTACCAAAGCATGATTTTTTTCTATCTTAGGTGGCAGAAATGGGCTTCCATTCTGTTGAATGAACATGATGAACATAAAATGAACATAAAAATACATAAATGAACATAAAAATACATTGCTAAATGCAGAGGTCTTGTTTGACTTTGAGAGGATACAGGTCACATGTCTGGGGTAAAGGGCAGCCGGAAATGATGCGTGGTACACTCAGGCAGTCCAAACACAGCAGATCATTCAGCCATTTCTCCACAGGGTCCCCCTGGCCATAGCGGATAGACTCGTGGAGGGTCACCTCATGAAGGGTTCGTGCTGCAGAGCAGGTAAGGTGTGGTTTACACATTATACACATACCAGCAGTGGGAAAAAAGTTATTCTTTTTTCATATTTCTAATTCTGGTTCTTTTGCGGCAAGTCAAGAGGTACTATATTTCACCTGCTGCCAGTCTGGCTGTGCTGGTGTTTCTGTTCTCAGCCAAGAGGTTCTGCTGGCTGTCTGCACTCTGCTGCCTTAACTGCTGAATCAGCTTAAGAGACAGAGAGCGACCAGTGCCCTCATACCTGCAGGTTAACACGAGGATTACTGTATTGTTATTATAAAACATTGTAAAAAGATCTAACAGCTCTTCAAATACAGACCCGTTGATCGTAGATGCCATAAACACAAGGTAAGGCCCCAGCAGTTTCTTCACTAAAGGCAGCGGGATCGCAGCAGCCTCGTCGATGACTAGCAGCTCTGCCTGGCCTAACTTCACTGCATCAGCAGGGTGAATGTACTGCAGATCAAAACACATCAGCAAGACTTGAGGAAAATTATGAATGATTATTATAGAGTTATGAATGATGCAAAATGCACTATATGAACCTGTTGTTTCTGCACTTCCACATATTTTTATATGTACTAAATTGGAATAAACCAGCTCTAAGCAAAGAAAGTATCTGAGATTCCACGATTTAACAAATATTTGCAAGACAAAAATGAAAATTATGGAAAATAAATGCAGAGATGGAGGTTAGTATACCTGAATGGTCTGGCGATGTTCCTTGAAGATGTTAACACGAACCACGGCTTTGTTAAACTCTGGGTTCAAAGACTGGATTATTTCATAGTCCAGATGTTCCTAGAATTTACAAAAAAATCGGGTTTAAAGTAGGTTCCTGAAATGTATGCAAATGTCTGACTTAGAGTCTCCTGACAGATAACATTTTTGCCTATAATATATTTTTTAAAAATTATATCATTTACCAAATATTGAAGGAATGATCAGGGTTTCACTCATTTAACTCAAATTTCAACCAGGGTTATTATAGCTAACTACAAATGAAACTATTAAAACATTTAGCTAACTGAAATAAAGAAGAGAAGTACAACACAAACACAATAAGTTATTTATTAGCATAAATTGCAGTCAGGAGGCAAATGTAACAAGAAAAATGAGCTTATTCATAATACCCTACTACATACCCAAAAGCAACAGCTCCGGCTACAGCCAATCCCAGTGCAGCAGATTTGCCTCGACCGCGGGCAGCAGTAAGAGCTACAGTGCTCCGCAAGGTCTTCTCTGAAATAGCCTCGATGAACTTCAGCACTGCTTTGGCCTAAAGACATAAACACAGGCAAAATAAAATGTTAAGTTGGGCTACATGAAACAAATCAACATTAAGATTTCTAGGAGTTATTTTAATTATACCTGGTCCATAGTTTTACAGCTGTCCACTAGAACACCAACTGGCTGTGTGTCCTGTAAAGACTCCTTTAGGTCCTTTAGCTCTTGTTCCCTTGGAGACAGTCCATCATCCTTTTGGCAAATACAAAGATGATGGAATTCATATGAGCTAATAATCAAACAAAACACTGTCCAATTATGAACAAGAGTTACCTGCGTCTTTGGAGGGACAGGTTTGATGTTGGTAATGTGAGTGGAGATTGGCAGAATGTTTAGTTGGTCTTCGATTACAACACATGTCTTACAGGAGGCAAGAGACAGGATGAATCTGGGGAAAATAAGATTATATCATTTGTACATGCATTTTTTTCTTACAGGACAGGATATGCACCTCAGATTAGGGCTGAAGGATGTAAATGAAATCAAAATCATGTGGAACATTTGTAGCAGAATCTGCTCATCAGAGTTTGGGTCACTTATAACATGCATTTGAGAACGCAACATGTTGTTAACAAAGAAGCTTTAAAGGCTCCCTGTGGTTGTCTATGAAAATAAACGTTTGGAATATAAAAGAAATTAAGACTTAAGTATTAGTATTGTAATTTTACAGTTGTACTGTAAAATGAGATTATTTTTCTTAAATACTTGATTTTTTTATTTGACTGTGAAATAGTATTACAATAGTAAAAGTTTAATGTTTTTTTATTAATCAAAATAAAATAATAAAATGAAATTATTATTATTATTATATTGATATATAAATCACTAAATATTCGGCCAAACTGTGCTTAGTTTTAATCGTTTAATCACCACCACAGCGTCTTGTCTCCATTGGCAACACGCACGATTTGTGTCGATTGCAAGTGACGTCGCAGGTATCGGAGAGTGCAAGTGGCGATTGCAAGTGACATTGTAAGTTAGGTTTTTTTTTTTCTTGTCTTCACCACCTGGCTACTGTTGTAAAATGTTGAGAGATTCAAACTAAAAGTAATCAATAAATAGAAAAAAATAAAAAAGACCGCAAGTGACGTCACTAGCGGAAGCGCAAGTGTCTGAGAATGCAAGTGCAAGGCTGCAGCCAGACCCTTCTCCTTCAGGTTGTGGTACATGTGTCTTTTTGCTATGAAATCTTTACAGACTGTTATGAATCTATGAATTCCATATGTCAGGCTTTACATACGTCTCAGAAGTTCGTCAATGGTATTACCTGCAGAACACACATGCCATAGGTGTTTCCCAGGATCTTGTGCGTTTCATTGTAGTAGCAGTATCGGATGTTGGTAGCAGCAACGAAGAGCTCAAAAGGATCATCCTTGTTTAGGTTCAGCGTGCCTGTTTTGATCTTCTTCTGCAGCTGTCGCATCCTCTTCTTTCGATTACTACAAAACAACAGATTAATTTCTATAAAGGTTCCTACAATTTTATATACAATTCAAAATCTGAACCAAGTCAATGGAAACAAAGTCTAATTATATGAACAAGGGTCTGTCATCAAAGTTGTTTGTGAACCTACAATAAAATGTTCATATTACCTGCTGAAGCTAAGCTCCTTTTTGTAGCACCATAACACCGATGGCCGGGCTCTGACTGTTGCTTTAGATAGCATGTGGTGCAGAACGACAACCTGGATGCAAAATGCACACATGAGTGAGGCTTAGCAAACGTCGTTACAGTATTACAATATTGTTAAACACAGTTATGCTTTACCTGATCTCTGCCACGATCACCAACTATAAAGAACATAGATCGATGGTGTTGAGCGACACCGTTTTCTATCTGGACTCGAATGCGATTGTCCACCTTCTTCCGAAAAGTTGCCATTGCTTCCCAAATGCACCCTGTCACCACGAACATGACAAAGTCAGCTTTAAATATTAAATGTATTAAGTGAAATTAAGTAAACACTGTAGTGCGTGTTAACATACTTTAAACACATTTTACATAGCGTTCAGACAAAACTAGGTTTATTTTTAAACGTTTATTCATATCGCAAGACATACCTCAAATGTTCTACCGGTAAAGCAAAATAAGCTGTTGAAGTCTTATATGCAACTTTTGGGCAATAAAACTTCGCCTCATTTACAGCAGTCTATCATGCTCGTACATTCACGTGGGAACCCTCGGCGAAAGGACCCAGGTATGATGGGCCCCAAAACAGACATATAGCAGTCCACGATAACGCCTGTTCTTAATGACCGAATAACGCGCGTATTATTTTTATTTAATAAATTAGTGTCTGCGGTTGACATGACCTAATTAGATTTTAATTTTGCACACATCAGACTTAAACTGCGGTTTTTTTTTTCTGTAAACTTGGCGGTAAACTTGTATCATTGTGGGAGTTGTAGTCTTTCTGTAGAAACGTAATTTCGTTACATTGGCCCTCTATGAAACAAATTCAAACATTTAAAACTTACCGTTTCTGTATTTCTCTATAGATTTGTGCCACGTCGTCCTCAGCGTGTACATGTTGTTACATTCATGGTTTGTGATGTACTTTTGATTGTAATTGTTGCATTCAAAATGTGGGTGTGCAAGACTCATTAGAAGCCGTTTCCTATAGGTCTTATTCTTTTTCTTTATAATCTTAAACATAACTTTTGTTCTGTACATCACCAGTGGTCATACACTGTACCTACATTAGTAGTGATATAACTCGTATAGAGGCAGTATAGAAAGGGAGAGTCAATCATACAGCAGAGAATCCTGTGTTTGTAAGACATTTAAGACCACTTCTTATGTAGAACTTTATGTAAACGCATCTCCAATAGAGAATTTACTTGATGTTATAACATTTGCATATTGTGCAGATTTGTGTCTTCTAACCAAATGGCAGTGGTTCTAAGGTCCTTTAGGTTGATAGGCATTGTAAGGATGCCAAATATATTGACATCCAATAAAACCAAATATGTCTGGACTTGATATTGTAATCATGGGGGGGTTAAAAAAAACACCAAGACTCAAACAGCACTACAGCATTTAATGCAACACATCTTTATTGAAACTCCTGAAGCAATATCGCTTTATAAACAGAGTCTGGGAGCATCTTAATGTACCAAAAGAAACATATTAGAACCAAAATGAATTAGTGTGAACAGAACAGTGGGGCAAAAAGAGAACTCCCAATCTTGGACCAGCTGTGGCAGGTATGAGTTTTATTTCCTACAAAAAATACAAATAAATTAAGTCTTTCAAGTTCACAGGTATCGGTTAGAAACAGGGTAGTTTTAAAATCTTGACGCTGGGTTTTCAGCTTGCTTTCTGAATCATTGAACCATTTTCTCCATTTTAACATATCAGGGTAGACGTTGTTCGATCAATTCCAGGAAGGTAAGAAAAGGGGGGGGACAAACAGCCAGGACAAATGCACTTCAGTATCTGAATGTTCACTGTGGTCCAGATGTAAGCTCAGTTCACAAGGCTTAAGACCGCATGGCTGGAGCATTTCCTCGAGAGACCCCTCGAGCCCCCTGGCCAGCACCACGTTTATAGTTCTGTTGGTAACCATCCTGTGGAGAGACAAATAAAAAGATTAAAGAAGACAACTGACAAGTGTCAATGTCTCAACAGTATTTTGAGGATGTGTTGAGACTAGTGTTGTCAAAAGACCCGGTACTTCGGTACCAAGTCGGTACAAAAAAAATGAAAATGTTACGGTACCAGGTTTTTACGTTACGGTACCGGTGGTACCGAGTACCTGGTCAACCCAGTTCTTGATGCGCTATCCGAAAGGTGCGCAGATGCGCTCTCTTCATAAAAGCACTGAGACATAGCGACCTCAAAATGAGGAAACCCATCAAACTAACAAAACACTTTAAAGACAGACACCCAGATCAAATGAAAGAGTTCAAACAGGTAAGTTTCATTTGAATTTTTCAGTGTTTCCCATACATTGATTTATTTGTGGCGGCCCGCCACAATATCAAAACTGACCGCCACAAATAGATTTTCCAAAAGGCTTTGACTTCGTTGAATAAACATGAGCACTGCACATGTCAAAGTCGAAACCCGGTGCGGGTGTTTTTATATCACTGTATTTCTGAAAGAAACCGACTGTCTTCAGAAAATTATGGATGTCAGTCTCATTTCATCTTGCCTGTAATGCCTGATAAAGCAGCGTTTGTAAGCGCAGCGCTTATTTGATTACAGCTGTTACTGGGGAAATCTCCATCTCTCCCACTCCTGCTGGCAGAGAATGAATTTGCATATATATGCGGCCACAAATAGAGTGCAAGTCTGTGGGAAACACTGCTCAGTTATGAATATTATTCAATATTTTAATTTGAATGTCGGATTGAATGAACATCGCTCTTATTAGAGAAGTTAATCGTTAGCATAAGCGCGGCTAACGCTAATATAATGAGCATTAGAATGAAGTTTCTTTATTAACTATTTAATGCTCCTATAACTATTTTTTTTAGCTAACTTAGTTGTTATTCTTGGCTGAATAACTCTAGAAGGTTTTAAAAACCCTTTAAAATTAAATATGCACACAGTTTGGATTAAATGAAAGTACAGTCAAATTTTTTGATTAACATGTTTTTGTGTTTTGCTTTGGTACCGAAATTGGTACCGAGAACCATGGATTTTCACTGGGGTATTGGTACCGAATACTGAAATTTTGGTACCGTGACAACACTAGTTGAGACTAATGCTCAAACGATAAAGAGAGAATCTCATTATTCTCACTCTAGTATCAAAAGTTGAACTTACCCGCTGATAGCTGCTGTTGGAATAGTCCCGTGGCGTACTGAATTGGGTTTGCCCGTATCCAGAGTTTGCAGAATTGGAGAAGGCTGGGCGATAACCGTCATATCCTCCTGAAATAAATTCAAAAACTCGAATGATTCATCCATCAATGACTTTAATGATCATCTAATGAAAATCACCACCTACAACTGCTCCAAACACAACGTCGTTCTGTACCTCTGAAACTACTGGATGTTCCTCTGTAGCCACTGATCATACCACGTGAGTTACGAGGACCTCCACGAGAAATCCCTCTGCTGTTGTAGAAGGACTGAGTCTGGTGGCTGAACCCGTTGCCCTGGCCACCTGACTGCTGGGACATGGGCTGGGGACCAGTAGAGTTAGGGAGTGACTGGTCTTGAGAATGGAAGGCACCAACTACTGTTAACACAGGGATAAAAAGCTGAATTAAACATGAATTAAACAAATAGCATTATGCAGGCCGTAGAAAATCATATACGTTTTTATTAGCTCCACGGCTGCTTGCTCCCATGAGCCACATGTTGAGAAGTTCTGACTACATAGACATGATTATATTGTGGGTATTAAAATATGATCTGAGGGATTCTGAAGATTTTCCTCACCAGATTGGAGCTGCTCTGGCGGCATGTCTGTATGCTCCACAGGGTGCTGCATCTGGTTATTAAAACCCTGGCTGTAGCTATTCTGGTATTGGCTGGCCTGCTTCATTGAGTCCGTATCATTAGCTGGTGGGACAGGCACATTAAGGTGGAACACCTTATCAGGAAGAACAGATTGAGGATAAGTGAACATGTAATATTAGAGTAGAGTATCATAGCATTTTGTGTAGTGTATCATAGAGTATCCAACATACAAAGTTTGTGTGTTGTAAAAGGAATACTTCACTCTAAAATGAGAATTCTCCTCCTGTACACACCTTCATGCCATCCCAGATATAATTATGAACATAGATGACTTCCTGATTTTTAAAGTGTTCCTAACAGCTAGTAATTTTCATTCAGGCATCTTACCGTTTGCATGGACTGGAATGGGGCTGCATTGACATTGATGCCACTGCTGTGCAAGGGTTTGGATCCGGGCTGGATCACCTGGGTCTGGGAGGCAGGAGGGAGCACTGTAGATGGAGGCGGCTGCTCTGTCAGGGGCATGGAGGCCTACAGAGGACAAGCAATGTTTTGATTGCTGAAAATTACTTGATGCACATTTTGTGCAGTACATTTTTGGTTACATTAGAAAGCTCATATTCTAGCTTCACAGAAATAAGTTTGAGAACTTGTTGAATTCATGAAAGGATTGGGTGCTTGACAACTTGCCTGAATAGGATCAATGGAGTCTGTCTGTGGTCGGGGATCAGCAGCGTGAGGAGACTGGTATATCGGAGGCGGTGTGGAGAAAGTTTCTGGTGATGGAGAGACCAGGGGGATCTGCAGACAAAGTAAATTCACACACTTATCTTTACACAGATATAAAGTCAATACTCTCATCTTTCTTTTCCAGACAGTTTCCAATCCAGAAGAAGTTGGCTACACTCACTTGTGTGGATTCAGGCTGAACGCCAACAGCAGAAGGCTGGGCAAGACGAGACTCAGGGAGAACTGTAGGTTGAGAAACCAACAGCCCAGCAGGGTTAGGGTGATTTGAACTGCTTAACCCATAAAGCTAACTGAATGACCATGTGGTGGAAATATGAACATACCTGGTTGACACACCATTGGCGGCATTTCCATACTAGGCACTGGTTTCATAGGTTGTGCCAATACAATCGCCGGATCAAGAGACTGTCCATCAAAATCAAATATGGAGTCCTGGGAATGAAGAGAGCATTTAGTATGCAAACAAACATATGCCAAATAAAACAAATCTGCAAAAAAAAAAAAAAAACACCTGCATGAAGTTGTATGGTCCTTTCATCTGTGCCATGAGATCCTGAACCACCTGCTGCCTAACCACAGGGTCTGAAGGGGGTGTTGGAATTGTGGTCAGAGGATGGGGCTCTGGGACGACAGGGGTGGGGGCGGTCTGAACCGGCTGCATGGAGTTAACCACCTGTAACAGATCCAATAGGTTTTAGAATTACACACTAATCCAGTGGTAGGCACCACTAGAGGGTGTGAGCAAAATTCCAAGAGACCTCATGATGACAAGCTTTAAAATAAGCTAAAACTAAAAATAAATAAAATAAATACACAAAAACATACATCTATCTTTATCCCCCAAAATACTGGAATCCTAACGATCATTTTAATTAATATTTTATAATCGTAGTTAATGCATGACCTTAATACATGAACCTCAATCCAGCACATAAAAAAAAAACAAGAAAAAAAAGTACAAAAGGAGGGCAAGGGATTTTAACCCCTTAAACTCTTTGGGTTTTTTGTGGATTTCCACATCTAAGGCTACGTCCACACAAAGCCAGAGCTTTCCCTATCCGATCTTTTTTTCCCCCTCGTCTCAAGAAATATCTGCGTCCAACGTAGCGGTGTTTGACTAGGGGCGAGACGTGGGCTGATGATGTCATCGTTTCAGAAAATATACGGATTCGCTGTCCACACGAAAACGCAAGGGCGGCGTTTTCAGATTTATCCACTCTGGGACCCAGTTTAAAAAAATATCGGTTTCACTCTCCCAAAACGCCGGATCCGTGTGGACGAAACGCCTATACGATACAAAATGTATGCGTATACAGCTAAACGCGTCTCTGTGTGGACGGGGCCTAAATCTGATAGATGCCCTTACCCACATGAGTGAAGTAAATGCAAAATATCGGTGCCATTCTTTTAGAAAATGAAACCAAATGTAAAGTAATAAATATTATTGTACGTATTCAAAATATCAAAATAAACACCAAAAATAGGTGCTTGTGTTCTTTTTTCTTTGAATCCTGTATTTGAAAGTGTATAACTCGGGTCCTGGGTGCTTCAGCTACCTATTGTAAATGTTATTTGATTCCACTAGACGGCAGCAAACACTGAAAAAAAATGAAAAAAAATTCATTCAGCATTTTCCTTTCAAAAGCTACTTTTATTAAACAAAAGGGAGGCAAAGAGATATTTTAGTGGCTTTTTGGAGTCTCCAAAGTCCTGACTGCAAAAACAAGCTATTATAAGGAATCCTACTTTTACTATATGCAATATGTGACAAAATACATTTACAGAGTACATACATTTGTACATATATACATATACACATACAAAATGTACATTTCAGAATGACCAAATATTGAATGAAAAACATATTAGGGCCTACTGAGCTTCCCATTCATGGAAGGACCCATGGAGGAATTCAATTCTCTGTTGGAGGAATAAAACTCTAAAACAGCCCCAGCACCAACACAAACAATACAATTTCTAGAGCAGCTTACCTCCATCTCCACACTCCATTCCTCTCTTTGTTCCTTATCGCCAGTACTGTATATGCTCTCCAAAACAAACTGCCTATTTAAAAACTGGAGAGAAAAATGACAAAAGAAAATTATAGGTAATCAAGAGGAAATTTACCCCTCAGCAAGATCATACAATTATAGGGTTTATACGCATTCATTATGTCCCCTAAGTCAACTTACGTAAAATGTTTTACGCCAAAAACAGCTGTACTTCACTTTTCACAACCATCCTAAGTAATAATCCCAATGGGCAGGGCACATTACCTGGGACATTAATAGGGCCTGTTCACACAGAGACGAATGTTTGGTGCAATAAACATTTTAATTTTGTTGGTGCGATAAATATTTCAAAACAAATGCCTGAATAGCTGTCAGCAAAGCCAAATGTGAGAGCAAGTTTCATTTTTCTAGAACAAAGGGTTCAAATGTTATAATCATTTAAAGGTTGAATTTTTAAACTGCTGGTGGCGCTATAGAGTTAGTCCTAGAGACTCCAAAGTTGGTCAGATCACCATTCATGACCATCACTACAAGTGTGCCAAATTTCATCATTTTCCTATATGTTCCCTTCATAGGGCTGCCATTGACTCCCATTCAGAAAGAATAATTATAAGAAAACATTAAAAACGCAATACTGTTTGATTTCCTTTCTTCTCTGTGAAAAGAAACAAAGTTGCACAGCACTTTGTGTAGCATGCCAACAGGGGTATTTCTACTTTTCTATAAGCGCCACCTACTGTCAGAGGCTGAATTTGCATTTAGCTAGTCAGCTTTTTTCTGCATTGGTCAATTATCCGAACAGACAAATTGTATGTGAAAATTAGATCGAATTTTTGCATTTTGTGTAGTGTAGTTTAAAAAAATAAAAAATTTTTGGATAGGGGAGGAAGTTTTGAGTTCTGAAAATTATTGCACATTTTCATAGTGCTATGAACTCCAATGTCAAAAGTCACTCCAATGTGACCCCCTTAAAGGGTCATGAAACCCCCTGTTTTAAAAAAAAAACGCTAAAAAAAAGTGGGCGTGGTGCGCTGAGGAGCTGAGGGGGAAGAGGCAAAACAGACAGCTTCGGTTTCAGACGGTTTCATTCCGCTCCCATAGAGTTAAAAACACAAATAAATGCACAGCCATTTGCACTCTGCATCGAAAACATATATATGAACGCGCTGTTGCACCTCTGATAACTTTAGGCTTATTCTGCGGCGTTTATATAAGCCTTTTGACGGGTTGTGTCACGGAGCTGTAAAAACGGTTACACTCACCAAGTGAATGAATCGCGTTTGTGCCGAACTCTTATTACAAAACAACAGGCACGTGCAGAAGTGGGGGCTTTGGGGGCTCAAGCCCCTGCCCTTTTTCAAAATTATTAACAGGCACGTGCAGAAGGGGGGGCTTTGGGGGCTCAAGCCCCTGCCCTTTTTCAAAATTATTCAAAAGTGCCCCTCTCAGCCAAATAGCAATGATATTGTGGTCAATAAAACAAAATGCATTTTAATTATAATTAACATGACAATGTGTACAAAACAGAAACCAATCGTTTACAAGTCGGAAAATTCCTGTTTATTTTTACATATCTGTCGATCTGAGGCGTTGCTATGGGTTGCTTGTGTTTTGCTTGACTGACTGCTATTTCAGTCTGTTTGGAAACCTAGACTCTCAAGCCATATATGGTTCTTTCAGTGAGTGGGTCGACAGAAGGAAGGAAAAAAATATATATATTTTAAACTTTTTTTTCCATCAATAATCAAAGCTAGCATGTCGGTTTAATTAAAAATCCATATAGCCTATTATACAGTCGTGGTCAGAATTATTGGCACCCTTGGTAAATATGATCAAAGAAGGCTGTGAAAATAAATCTGCATTGTTAATCATTTTGATCTTTTATTTAAAGGGGTAATATGATGCGATTTCAATTTTTCCTTTCTCTTTGGAGTGTTACAAGCTCTTGGTACATAAAGAAGATCTGTAAAGTTGCAAAGACTAAAGTCTCAAATCCAAAGAGATATTCTTTATAAAAGTTAAGAGTCAGCCACGCCTACCTAAAACGGCTCATTCTAACACGCCCCCACATATCTACATCACGTTTGTTAAAATTTCCAAAGGGTGCCACGACTAAAAAAAGGTTGGGAAACACTGGAGTAGACTACAATGCCGGCTGTTCTGACTCACAGATTGTAAGTAAGTTTTTTTATATTTAAAGCGAGTTTTTTGGGCAGTGTAGAGTAGGGCTTGTTGTTTGTCATTTCTCCGATCACAAATGCAGACATGGTTTTGTTTACACGGCGCGATGCAACGCAACGCGCAAAAAGACAGTACAAGTCATTATAATCCATAATTATGTCCCCACTGGATGCAGCGAATGCCTCGTTTATAATGGGTTTTCATGTTTTTAAATTATCGCTCTGGCCTGACAGGGCATCATCACAGTATGATAGGGGCATAACATTTATGTCACACACTTGAGGTATTCGGCCAATCATAACGCACTGGATAGCTGGCCAATCACAGCACACCTTGTTTTTCAGATCGATGAGCTTTGTAAAAATCGACGCGTTTCAGAAAGGCGGGGCATAGAGGAGAAACAATAATGTACAGTATGTGGAAATTAATGTGTTTTTAACCTTAAACCGCATAAACACATTTCATTACAACAAATACACAAAATAATGTTCTTTTTAGCAATATCATATGACCCCTTTAAAAGAAATATGAACGACTGGTGAGATGAAGAGACTCTAACCAGAGCACTTCTGTAGGTATTAAAGTAAGCTGTGTATGTAGCCATCAGCAGTCTAAAGATCTGATTTTGTTTGGTAGGTGAGAGAGCTGTTGTCTCATAAGCTGTCATCGTGGCAGCAGTCATGTGCGCAGCCAACCAAGCTCCCGGAGCGAGCGCTGAGCCTGCTGCGTCACACCGCCCCCCAGAGCTCTGGAGGAGCCGGACTCGCCGAGGTCCTGCGCAACGCTAAACTGGGAATCACTCAACACGGAGAACAGGTTTATCAAATACATACTTGGGCATTTTCACTTTGTCACAATGCAAAAAAAAGACAGAATGGTGAACATAGTGAACATAATGGTCATAAAATAGGATTCATGTTTTTTATGTAAAATATACTCTAATTTCATTCATTTAATGAATGGCTGTGCTCAAAGTTGAATATCAAAGTGTTTTGTGTCTGTTAATCATGGATGTGTGGACACATCAATGTTTTTAGATTTGTGGAGTAAAAAATATTGGGTAACACTTTAGAATAGGGAACACTTGTTCACTATTAACTACGACTTTTCCCTCAATAAATTCCTAATTTGCTGCGTATTAATAGTTAGCAAGGTAGTTGTTAAGTTTAGGTATTGGGTAGGATTAGGGATGTAGAATAAGGCATTAATATGCGCTAATAAATGGCTAATGTTCTAGTAAAATTCATGCTAATAAGCAACTAGTTAAGAGACCCTAAAATAAAGTGTTACCAAATATTGTTTTCATTTTGAAGAAAAAAGCAAAAATTAGACTCAGGACTAGTGGCATGTTGTTACTTACTATTTAATTTGGGTTATTATTCAATAATTTCCTGATTTAAATGTACATTTCTTCGCTATTCATTAAAACCTATAGTGAATTAATTTAATCTGAATTTACAGTGTTGCTATTAAGACATATCTTAAGATTAAAATAAATTATTTTTAAATAAATGAAATATGTAAATATTGATATTCCTCTATATAAATCATATAATAAATTTACTTTTCAGATGAATCTCTTTCACTGAGATTCAGGATTGCTTTGTCTGTGATTAACTATTAAATTGTCAAAACACAATTTGAAATATAATAGTTGACTTGGTATTTTATATGAATGGCATTTTTATTTAATGTAATATAATATAATATACATACATTTCATTACTTTTATAACATTTATTACATGCTTTCAGTTTTTTTTTTTAGTTTGTCAGTTTTTTCTCTCATTTAGAACATGTGAAAATTTTGAGCAATTATTTTAGCATATTTTCCGCAATACATAAATAATTGTATAATGTATTGTTCTTTACTTTTCAAAATAGCGTTCTAAAAATAAAAAAGCACACCAAATACATGCAGCTGTATCATGCACTAAATTCTTCCAAAGTAAAATAAAATAATCTTGAGTACACACACACACACACTCACACACACACACACACACACCTGTGTGTGTGTATATACAGTGGGTACGGAAAGTATTCAGACCCCCTTAAATTTTTCACTCTTTGTTATATTGCAGCCATTTGCTAAAATCATTTAAGTTAATTTTTTTTCCTCATTAATGTACACACAGCACCCCATATTGACAGAAAAACACAGAATTGTTGACATTTTCGATGAGCTTTGTAAAAATCGACGCGTTTCAGAAAGGCGGGGCATAGAGGAGAAACAATAATGTACAGTATGTGGAAATTAATGTGTTTTTCGAACCTTAAACCACATAAAAACATTGCATTACATCAAATACACAAAATAATGTTATTTTTAGCAACATCATATGACCCCTTTAAAAAATTCACATAAATCTAACCTTTCATTGGAGAATAAGAATTTAAAATGGGGGGGGAAGTATCATTATGACATAAATGTTTTCTGTAATACACATTGAACACAATTAACGGCACCCTTTTATTCAATGCTTTTTGAAACCTCCATTTGGCATAATAACAGCTCTGAGTTTTCTCCTATAATGCCTGATGAGGTTAGAGAGCACCTGACAAGAGATCATCAAAATTGTAAATATGAATGGGAATATACTTCACAGATATTTTACTCATAAGAATTTCTAGGGGTGCCAATAATTGTGTCCAACGTGTATTTGAGAAAAACATTTATTTCATAATGAGATTTTCCCCCATTTTCAATTGTTTTAGTTCAATGAAAGGTTAGATATTTGTGAATTTTTTTAAATAAAAGATCAAAATTATTAATGCAGATTTATTTTCACAGCCTTCTTTGATCATATTTACCAAGGGTGCCAATAATTCTGACCACAACTGTATATTTTAGAATATTACATAATTCAATGCCCGTTTGTCATGCCTATAATACACCAACCAATCATGATCTGGCACAAGTTCAAATTTCATTGGACAATAATGTGAAGTAGAGCAGTCATTTTCCGTTCTTATACATAAATCGGTTGAAAAATGACATGGGACAGACGAGCTTATTTGTGGAGTGATCTGGATTAGGGATGCACCGAAATGAAAATTCTTGGCCGAAGCCGAAAACCGAATAAAATTAAACACTGGGCCGAAGGCCGAATACCGGACACGTTTTTTCGAGTTTTTTTTCCCCATGTATTTTGCCAAAAAAATCCTAAACAGTCTCTCGCTGTCGGTGCTTGTAATGATTTTTGTGTCTTTCTCCGCTGACGTGTGTGCTGCATAATAAAGAGTGCGCGTCTCTCTGCGCTGGTTGCTATGTGATCGCGTCATATCGTTGTTCGGTACAATTTATTCTGTCTTTTCGCTTATTCGGCCAAACACCGAAAGAGCTTTTTTTTCCTATTTTCGGCCGAATAATTTCGGTTGCCGAACATTCGGTGCATCCCTAATCTGGATCTGCGGCGTCTCATTTTATAAATCAAAATACATCGCTGAGAAAATGGATGCTAAATGACTACAAAAAGACTGCACAAAACCGTGCAGCGCCAAAAGTTGCAATAATGGTAATCAGTATTCAGTTCACTTATATGTATGATAGGCTACACCGTTTACTATTTCATGAAACTATCATAGTTAATGAAGCCCAAGTGCCACCTACAGGCCTATTATTTGAAGTGTAGGCTAGCGAAATGGTGACGTGAAAGGACTTTATCATATTACCATTTTTGATAATTATGCAGCATTATGAATGTGTCTTATGCTCATCAAGCCTGCATTTATTTGATCAAAAATACAGAAAAAAAACTAATATTGTGAACTATTATTACAATTTAAAAGAATGTTTTTGAAATACTTTAAAATATCATTTATTTCTGATGCAAAGCTGAATTTTCAGCATCATTAGCCTACTCCAGTCTTCAGCGCGTGATCCTTCAGAACTCATACTAATATGCCGATTTATTATCAATGTTTGAAACAGTTGTGCTGCTTAATTTTTTATTAAATGTTTTTGTAACCTGTGATACTTTTTTGGGGTTCGTTGATGAATAAAAAGTTAAAAAGAACAGCATTTGTTCAAAATAGAGATGTTTTCTAACAATATAAATCTTTACTATCACTGTTTCTATTAATTTAACAAATCTTTGCTGAAAACTAATTTCTTTCAAACGAAAAAAAAATACTGACCAAGCTTTTGAACGGTAGTGTATATTGTTACAAAAGTTATATTTTCAATAAATGCTGTTCTTTTTGAGCTTTTTATTCATCAAAGAATTCTGAAAAAAAGTATCACATGTTTCCAACACTGATAATAAATCAACATTGCATAAAATGCATTTTAAAGTATATAAAAATTTTGATCAAATAAATGCAGGCTTGATGACCATAAGTGACTTGCAAAAATATAAATTAGTAATGTATCCAAACTTTTGACCTATAATGGTTGTTTTTTTTAAATTGCCCCTATTTTACATTTGAGCCCCTGCCCCTGAGGAATTCTCTGCACATCCCTGCAAAGCAAAAACAAACACTCTCCTTCAACCCATTAACGTTTCTCTCAGTTAATGTACGTGGTCTCGCAGTCTGAAGCGTCTGTCATAGCAAATCAGCACATGCTGTTGTGAATAATTAAGCAAAGCGTCTTCTCATAGGATAATTAGAACTATCGAATGCTAATATTGTCTTCTATGATGTGCAACACAAACACCTCTGCTAAAATCTCAGAAAAAGTAGTCTGGGGTTTCATGACCCGTTAAGCTTGCATTTTACAAAGTGCATTTAACCAACTTGTCTCACCTGTGTCACCTCAATTGCAACAGGTTCTGCACACTCTGTCATTTCACCCTCTGTTAGGAGACATAAAAGACAGTTTGCAGAAATCAGTCTGTATTGTAGCAGTTTCAGAATGACAGTAACTCGATTGAGCAATGTGAAATGAAAGTGTTTTACCCGTGTCGGGAGGGTGCTCCTCTGCTTCAGACACTTCCACTGCAGCTGTCTGCTCCTCTTCCTCCGTGCAAACTCCATTCTGATGAGACTGCACTCGGTCAAAGTAGCCGCTCTGCAAAACTCGCTCCAACATCTCATTCAGTGCTTTATCTGAAAACAAGCATTTACACTCCTGTTCAAATGTTTAGGATCAGTAAGATGCTCACCAAGGATGCATTAATTTGATCAAAAATGCAGTAAGTTAAATATAAAAATTTAAAAATGTAACTTATTCCCGTGATGCAAAACTGAACAGTCTTCAGTGTTACATGAGCATTCAAAAAATGTTATAATAGGTTGATGGTGCTCAAGAAAGATTTGTTATTAATGTTAAAAACAGTCATGTTGCTTAATGTGTTTTTTTTTCTCTTTCTTTCTTTGGAAACCATGATACATTTTTTCCGGATTGTCTAAATAACATTAAAATATAACACAAAAATATATAAATCTTATGTAACAAGTGTTTTTACTGTCAATTTCCATCAATTTAATGCATCCACGCAGAATAAAAAGTAATTTATTACAAACAAACAGACTCTAAAAAAAAATAAAAAAAATACTGAAAAGCTTAAACGATTATAGAGGACCATCACACTACATACTACAAGCCCAGCTGGTACATAGCAAATGGATGTATTTATATGCCATGAGCCACATGATCTGCCACAGAATACCACTGAAGAAAAGTGCTAGAGGCTGGAAGCTTTCTAATGCAGGGCTACTGTAGGTGATAGATTATTTATGATATGTTTACACTAGTTCAAATTAAGCAATCCTGTGAATATATTAGAAGTATTTTAATGTGCCTTTTAACTGGCCATTAAGTTAACATGGCGCTAGCATGACCTATGGACTCCCCACATTGATCAAGTGATCTTTCACAGTCAGTGTCCTTGGAGAGTTTCCCTAGCACACAGCTGCAGAATCACACTGATACAGAAGACAGGGGACATGGATAATGCCACTCCACCCACTGCTGAGTCAGCACATGCATCGTGACTGAATGCTGCAGTATATGCCACCTTTGCCCATATCCATGTCTTGCTTTGGTAAACCTTTGGTAAAAAATCAAGAATGATGCCGACCAATTTATGCAACATTCTATTAATTGCCATAAAGGTTTTCTTTAATTAAACAATGCAAGCTTTCAAAAGACATTACATGATTTTTCCTGAAAATGCTCATATAAATCTCCTTGTACCAACATGCACAGAAACATAATTGGATCATGAGGAAATAGTTTCCAGTACAGTTGAATGCGTGTTAATATTTAAAAAGGAAAAAAAAGAAAAAGAAAACGGCTGAAAAATTTTACCCTTTAAAAAACAGAAAAAGCTGATACACATCGAAAATCCATAAAAATCCAATATTAATTTCATTTTTAACTTCTTACAAATAGATGTTATGAGCTATCAGACCCTAAAAAGAAGTTTAAAAAGTCCATTTGACATACATGTTGTTCCTGCTACAGGCTTGTCCTTCCCCTCCAAAAGTTCCCATAAGTGCTGTGATGTTTCTTGATACTGGTCAGTTAACCTGTGTAAGAAAAGCATCCCATTGTGAACATACAATCCAAAAAATAAGCAAACTAAATTTTTAATTTGTTAAATTAAATTTAAATTAACCAAAGACACGGATGGATGGATGGATGGATGGGACACGGATGGATGGATGGGACACGAATGGATAGATGGGACACAGACGGACGGATGGATTAAGTTCAGTATATGAACTTTATAAAGCATTAAAATTATGGTTCAACGGAGGGACAGAAATATCTTGTGTTTCATTAAAAATCTTAATTTGTGTTTCAAAGATAAACTAAACTAAAGTCCTTCGTGTTTAACAACCTTAGGGTGAGTAATTGACCATTTGTATTTTTGAGTGAAGTAACCCTGCTTCTTTAAAATCTTCCTGGACGCACACTGGCAAATCGGCAATAAATAATTAAAAGTACAGTTACAAAGATGCTGTCAAACTTAACATGCTCTGCCAATGCTGAGACCTCAAGCTGTCTGAAATGTATTCTGTGAGAGATCCAAATGTCAATTCAATGACAATTTATATTACAGTAGGAAAAACACCAATTATTCTGTTTACAGCATAGTTTATTTGCAAACAATTTCTAAATTGAGTAAAGTAGTGTGGACAGTCTTCTTCACCTGATGTTTTGGTCACGTTCAGGCCCCACAAGCTTGTAAAACTCATCCAGGGAAGTAAGGTCACCCTCGGTAAGCAGTGAGGGTCTGCCGGCTCCTTGCAGTAGCTCTTGCCACACAGTTTCATCCCCAAGTCGGTCGAGAAGGAACTGTAGCTCCAGAACTCGTTTCAGCCTTTTCTGTTCCACCTCTTCACGCTGGAGTTGCTCACGACGTGCCGCTTTCTTAACACACTTCTGGATCTATCCAAAGCAACAGATTGCGGGAGACATTCTCACTGATTCGTATAAACCTTCCAGTGAATTTCGGTTGTAGATCTATACACATTCACAACACAAAAAACAAACTGTAGGTCCTCAGGCTATGGAAGAGAGCAAATTCAATTTCATGTACTCACTTCTTGACCCAATGCCAAAAAGCTCTTATGCAGTTCACGTGCAAACTCAAGGTTATGGATCATTTCCTGGTACTTAGACAGGGCTTCCTAAATTGATTTAGAAAAAGGACAGATTTCAGGAAACTGAAAAACAATTAACGGACAACAAAAATATGGAGTGTTTACCCACCAGCTGGTCCTGGTTGAGACGTTCCCCTTTGCCGTTTCTGGCCTGATAGTCATCAAGCTTGCTCTGAAAGAAGAGAAGTGACAAAGAAATAGAAATAAATTTGAAAAATAAAAAAAGCAAGATAATAAAATGACAGTACATTGGAGAAGTCATCTCACAGGTTTATGCATTCATTTCCCCATCTCAAAATCCAGCTGAATTGGTCATCACAACAATATATGACAGAGATAAAGACTCTCAGAAAAGCAAGAATACAAATGAGTGCCCATATATCTTTAAAAATTCTGCGATCAGTAAGATTAATGTTTTTGAAAGAAGTCTCAGTCTTCAGTGTCAAATGATCCTTCAGAAACAACTTTAATATGGTAATCTGGTTGCTCCGCTTAATATTTTTTAGAAAACAGTTATAAAATCTTCAGGATTCTTTGAATAGAAAGTTTAAAATAGCAGCATTTAGGCTATTTGATATAGATTTTTTTGTAATATTATTCATGTTTTTCAATGTCACTTTTCATTAGTTTTATGCATCCTTGGCTGAACTGTACAAAAAATGTATTGCACATAATATTTTTAATTATGAAACCAATTTCCCATTCAAAGTGGATCAAGAGCAAGGACTTTGTTCCGGAAACCTCCAACATGTGGTTGAGTTATGTGGAGATTATCACATTTCACAGAGTTGGTGAGAGATGGCAAGTTCACTTTCCACAAATGTCAGAATCAGAGCGGACATCCAAGACATGAAGGCACACAAGACATGATGCCATAACTGTTCATTAGCCTAAATAAATCCCTTAAAAGAAATGGCAGTCACTAATCACTTAATGGAAAACAAAAATCATGACTGTCTGTCTATCTGTCTGTCTGACTAGCATTCTGCTTAAGATCCACTTTTGTGTTCCACAATAGTTTAACAGGTTTGAAACCACATGAAAACGGAGACAATGACAGAATTGTATTTTTTTGCCCAGTGAATTATCCTTTTAACGAAATATATCCCTTCCGGCTTATAGTCATTCCGGACAACGCGCTTCATCTGCCGGGCTACCAGCTGTTCAGAGCAGATCGCATCGCGGAGTTAACGGGGAAAACCAGAGGTGGTGGATTGTGTTTCTACATCAACGAAAGTTGGTGTTCAGATGTAACAAAGCTGAAAAAGGTATGCTGTCCTAATTTAGAGGCACTCATCATAAACTGTAAACCCTTCTACTCGCCGCGGGAGTTTTCTTCTTTCATTCTCGTGAATGTGTACGTGCCTCCGAGGCCCAGATGGTGTTTCACCTGCCTGTTTAAAAGTCTGCGCTGACCAACTGGCCCCCCATCTTCACACAGATCTTCATCATTGGAGCTGTGTGAAGTTCCCCGTTGCTTCAAACGCTCCACCATCATTCCGGTCACCAAAAAGCCCAAAATCACTGGACCTAACGACTAAACATACTTGGTAATAAAGCTCTTCTGATTCTGATTCTGAATAAACCAATATAAAAGCAATGTGCTGCACTGTCACCAAGTTAAAAGTTTCTCCGGCGAAGCTCAGAAACCTGCAGGATCCAAAGGCGCTTACTGCGTGTCCTGAGGACACACCTGCCTCTGACCCATTTACCTCGACAAACCCACATCAGCACAAGCCTGAGAGCACTCCAAAGAGAAAGGAAAACTTGAAATCGCATCATATGACCCCTTTAACAACTCATTTAAATGCATTTTTGCGCTGGCAGTTTCCCCATTTTTAGCATGCTGAACCTGTTTTAGGATGCCATGTTAGCTTTATCTCCATCTCCATGTGCGTGCGAAACAAATAGTTATCCTAGAAACTAACAAAAATCAAGAAATATAATCGCGAATTATATAGAGAAGGTAAATAAGTAATTATGTAAATACATTTGTCAAGAGAAATGGAAAGGGCACAATTGTATGAATTTAAGAGATTTACCTTTACGTTAAAGATGTTGGTTCATACAACATGACTTAAATGCATATAAATAGAGCAATGGTTTCATAAACATTTAATGAGCCTGGCTAACTGCGTTACATGGTCGATCAAACTTCATAAGTTTTTGACATTAAAATGTGGCACATTAAACCCATTTATTGTCCATTTACCAACAGATCACACCATTGAGATCCAAGGATGATGTGTTTTTAATCAACTGACATATTCATAAGAAATGCATGTAAACTCTGATCGATCAGATTTGTGAGAAATATATAACGGAGTACAAAAGGCACAAGGGGAATGGGTTAGGGGAATGAACTCTGAGGATGTGGGACAACAAAAACGTAGTTTATCTATACATTTCTGTGCTAATATTAGTTATGCTAAAGTTGACATGTTGAAACCGGTACCTTTTTCTTCTCCATATTGCGCACTTTCTTTTCAAGAACCACCAGCACTTGCTTCATGGCCTCTGATTGAGTTCCAGTCAGCTGGTTGCTGGCTGTGATTTGGTTCATTGATCCGGGAGCAAATCCCAAGTCTGGGCTGGCAGACTTCACAGTCCTGGTGCCATTTGTTGCCGAGGGCATCTGATCAAGGATAAAGGACAAGTTTTAATATCAGAATATAACAAAAAAATGAAGGAATAAAACACTAAAATGCTGAAAGCATCCGATTGAGTGGCAGTGAGATGATCATCATTTGAGGCGGAACATGATGTAAGTGGTGATCGACGATGGTTTCATTTTCGATCATATCACATTTACATACTCTTTCAATCAGATCAACCAAATCTTTCAATTATGATACCAAGTGCAGCTAGATGTTAATCATACATGTTCAAATAATTATGTAATCATAGAACTCCATTATATAACGAAATTATACAGATAAGATTTTGTCTGATAGTAGCACATTTTCAGCTGAACACGACAATGAAGTACGATAAATATATTATATATTTTTTAATAATTCAAAATTATAAAGATATTTCACAAACGCTAGAAATAGACTGCAAAATTCCAAAACACTGTCATAGCAACCCATTGTCCGCATTTTAAACTGAAACGGTGTCCAAATCATCACTGGATCTACTGTATAACGTTCACGTCTGTGATTTGGATCCATAATATGTGCTCACCTTTATGCGCAATATATCCACAAGGGTGAAAAGTAATCGTCTGGAGGCAAATAAGTCGAAGCGTTGATTGTGTTGCTTTTATTTTCTCTTCCAATTTACTATAGGATCAGCCCCGCCGGCCTCACCGACAACTGAGAGCGACTGAAAGGCGAGGAAAAGGTTTATATGAGAAAGGACCCCGTTTAGAGTCGACCAGGATTTTGCTTGTGTCCTACTGACATTTATATGCAGGTTATTATTGCGTTTACTTCTTGTCCGATGAATATACAACCAAATAATAAAGATAATTTATGAAACGCATAAGAAAGAGTCACGAAGATGACAGAAAATACTAATATTTTATTCAGTTGCAAAGCAGGCATACAATGACTTCCTCATGTAAATTTGTCACTGAACGCGTGTGGTGAAAACGAACAGGCTGACTTTATATAAACCATAGACTGTATAAAGGATAATATGGTATTAAAAATGTGAGATTTAGTATTTTATTGTGGGACTGTGTTTTATTTTATTTCGTTGATAACCTTTTTTCCCTTCAATATCATGCTAAATTACCTCTTCACCGATTCTGCAACTGTTAACTTTCTTATTATTATTGTTTTAGTTTTCGCCTAAATATCAGGTATCTCATTTTTTAAACGACCAAACAAGTCCTTGCAACGATACACCATTATTTAATATAGTTATTTAATGTAAATCAAACTGCGGTCCAGCAGATAGCACCAGACAGATTGAAGTGAATGCAGTCAACTCGAACGTTCCTGCAAAGTCAAATATGTACAAGCAATAAATGATTAAGTGCATTCAATAAATGATTACAAGAATGACTAATTAATATTGAATCATTCACATTTTCTAATTTAGGTTGAGCACATTATGTAACAACATTTTAAGGCTATTCATTAATGCAAAATAAATTATATTCTCCTATTGCATACGTGTATCTTTTCAAGCTTATGAAGCATTTTTATTTCATTCAAGAAGTATTGATATTGCAAAAATAATTTCATATAGATAGACATAAAAAAAATAAAGCTTTCTGTAAAAATCATAAACTATTCAAAAACAATGTGAATGCAGTTGCATGAGGTTTTGTTTGGCATATACAGGAAGCAGTTAACATGGTTGCTCTGCTCTTTGATAGTAATGTTCTATTGAAAGGGTGTTTTCTTTCAGGAATAATACTGATTAGAGGAAAATCTCATGGGAGAGTGAAGCTTTCTTTCATCGAGTGACTCATTTCCGCTCTCTGTTGTGTTTAGTAACAGCAGCAGCAGTCCTCAACTTAAACAGTCCATTAATATATCTGTCAGTGTCACAAATATGGCTAATCACTGATCATCTGAAGTTTACAATGAACAAACTACAAACTTGTAGTCACAACAATGTTTTTACTTAGTCCAAATAATGGTGTTCGCACAAGCTTCTCAAAAATGAGCCAACAATAGTTTACGCTAAGATTAGGCAGGAAGCAGTAGCCTAGCTATTGCTGTTTCAGAGTATATGCTATCAGAGAGCCAACAACACATCCAGGCTCTCTCCTTACAGGAAATACGCCTTACTGTGATTACGCAGTCTGTGATGGATCTCTTCTCCAGTAGGCTAAAGGCAGCCTATAGGTCCTAATTAAAACAGAACATGTCAAACACATCCAGTAAGAGGATCAGTGTTGCCAATTTAGCTACTTTGTAGCTAGATTTAGCGACTTCCCCGCCCCTTTTGAGACTTTTTTCAAAAGTTTAGGGACAAATATAGCAACTTCTTGGACAAACCTTATCTAAGTTCTCATCTTGCCCACTGATCTACGTTCATCTTTATATAGATCAGTGAATTTGCCATTGTGATGTCATCTAGTGACATTTAGCTACCAGTTTTAGCTACTTTCAATTGAAAGCAGTTGGCAACACTGAAGAGGATATGTTTCAGTTTTTTGTTATTGAGTCAAGGCATGTTCCATGGCAAATGATCAGCCAATCCAATGGCATTTCCTATTAGGTCTGGACTTTCAATAAATCAGCCTACTCTTGCAGAGCCAAAGGACCAGGACACCAAGGGACTGATCTGCCCTAATATTCAGATTTCTGGTTAATCGGTATGAAGTTTCAGTGGCTGATTTCTAAATCCTAAATCCATGTGCTAACAGCCTTGCAGAGTATCAAAAGTTATTTATTAATAACACTAAGCCTAATTCTAAACTGCTACATTATTTCAACACTGTCACAGTAGGTTTGGAATTCATGTCAAAGTAAGTGAGTAAATTCTGGTATACCTCAGTGTTATTTGCTTGTAATAAATCACATATTTATTAAAAACAAAGTCATATATGTGGTCCTGGACCACAAAAGCAGTCTTAAGTCGCTGGGGTATATTTGTAGCAATGGCCAAAAATACATTGTATGGGTCAAAATGATCGATTTTTCTTTTATGCCAAAAATCATTAGGATATTAAGTAAAGATCATGTTCCATGAAGATATTTAGTCAATTTCCTACTGTAAATATATTAAAACTTAATTTTTTATTGGTAATATGCATTGCTAAGAACTTCATTTGGACAACTTTAAAAGTGATTTTCTCAATATTTAGATTTTTTGCACCCTCAGATCCCAGATATTCAAATAGTTGTATCTCGGCCAAATATTGTCCTATCCTAACAAACCATACATCAATGGAAAGCGTATTTATTCAGCTTTCAGATGCTGTATAAACATCGATTTCGAAAAATGTACATTTATGACTGGTTTTGTGGTCCATGGTCACATATCACAATTTAAATTTTATGCTATTATATACTATTTTAATGTCAGTAAAAGCTAAATTTAGGTCATTTTATTGTATGCTATAAAATGTATAACCTTTCCCTATGAGAACGTAAGTACGTACATATGTATGTATGCATTTATTTCATTTTTTTATTGTTTTCTTCTCCAGTATGCCAAAAGGCTCAGTTAAAACAGAACAAGTAAAACACATCCAGTATGAGGCCAATCAAATGACATTTCCTACTAAGGCTGGACTTTCAATAAATCATATTTTCAACCTCAAGCCAAAAAAATACCATGGCTATATAATCACTAGACAATGAGGGGCCACCATATGGGGCGAATCTCCCCTAATATTCAGATTGCTGGTAAATCATTATTCAGTTTTTTTATATGGCTGATTCCTAATTCACTCCCAATCCTGAATATGTGGTTAAAGCTTGCAAAGTATTATCAGTCATTTATGATTAGATCAATGCTAGATTATTTCAATATTGTCACAACAACTGGGAATTCGTTTACTCAACCTTTTTAAAATTAGTTTTTTGCTGTGCACCTGTTGCATTAATTCTGGGTTAAATATTAGGGATAATGGCCAAAGGTCAAAATGGCTAATAAAAGCTTTAAAGGTATTACATAACTTTCATTTTTGGGTGAACTATCCCTTTAAGGCCTTTATTAGCCTTTTTTTTTGGCCTTTGACCTTTGAACTTTATCCATGAAACATTCAACCCAGAATTAATGTAACAGTAAAAAAAAAATGTTTTATAAGTTATTCCCTTCTTTTAAAATGTTGAATAAATAAACTAAATATTGTGTACAATTTTTTCAATTTCACAGTTGAAATTTTATGCTGTTGTGCTATTTTGATATATAATTTCATGCTATAAAATGTACAATTTGGAGCAAATCATGATATAGTCATATATGAAAAACAAACAAACAAACAAACATGTAAAAAATAAAATCAATTTCAAATCTAAAATTATTGTTTTATGTTAATTGTTTTTGGATTTTGGATAAAACAATTTAGCTTGTGTTAAATTTATTTCAGTTTCTGTTTCTACAGAAAGTTTCTGTTTCTACAGAAACTATAGGAGAGTTCAGTTTTGCTGAAATTCCTTAGTCAAAGAATATTTTTCACTTTGCACAATATGTTGTCTTGCTGTGGCTCTCAGATTTTCTTTGAATGTTTTTGAATGTATGACACTCCGCATTTTTAGAAAATAGCTAATAACATAGAGACATCGTAAGCCATGATATGTTTACTACATCCCTAACCATTTATGAAGGAAACCTACCCAGAGTTAAGAAAGCTTTTCCTGCCAAGTAGATGAGTTGACAGCTAGTGGTTTCCGAGGCGCTGTCTCAAAAGCCCTTCTCCTATCAAGGGGGGCCATCTGGAGGTATCCAACCAATCAGAGTCCAGCAGAGTGATCAAGTGAAATGAGTAGGAAGTCAGCATGGCTCATACCCCCTGCCAAGGTTCATCTGTGCTAATTTCCTGTACATCCTCTGGGTTTGCTGTGTCCAATCCACAGGAAATGGTGGACGCCTTATGCACACAGTTTAACAGCTATTAAAAAACAAACTGTCGAAGCAAACAAGTAAAGGTTGTAGTTATGTTATCATCTGCATTCTTGGGAAATCTGTTTCTCTAAAGTACTTAAGATTTTTGAATGTTTTTGAAAGAAGTCTCTTGTGCTCACCAGGGCTGCAATTATTTATTTAAAAAATACAGTATGTTGTTTCTGTAATATTGTGAAATAGTACTACAATTTAAAATGTAATTTATTTCAGTGATTGCATAGCTGAATTTTCAGCAGCCTCCAGTCTTCAGTGTCACATCCTCAAGAAATCATTCTAATTCCTGTTTTGGTGCTCAGTTATCAATTATTATTGGTGTTCAATTATTAATAATGGTTCTTAATATTATCAACAGTTTTTGCTGCTTCATATTTTTGTGGAAACCGTGATCCGTTTTTTTACTATTTGGGATTCTTTGATCAATAGAAAGTTCGATGAAGAGCATTTATTTGACATAGAAATCTTTTGTAACATTATAAATGTCTTTACTGTCACTTTTGATCAAATTTGATGCATCCTCACTGAATAAATTTATTATTTTTTCTGCAATTTATTTAAAATATTTTGAATAGTAGTACAGTATATCATGGTTTTCACAAAAATATTAATATATGGGATTTTATATTTTGCTAATTAAATTTATAATAAACAAATGTGAATGAAAAAGGGAAAGAAAAAAAGGGAAAAATGAAAGAAAAATTGTTCCTACTCTCAACAAACCTTTACATTTGTTAGGATGAAATGTAGTTTTTCGAGTCAGAATAGTAAAACAGTCAAATTGTAGCTGAAGGGCGATCATTGACCTC